ACACACACACACACACACACACACACACACACACACACACACACACACACACACACACACAGGAACAGAGGAGCGCTGTCACCGAGGCATGCAGCCCCGCCAGATTATAAACCTCACAGAACAGCTCGGAGAGGYAGAGTGCAGGCAGACGTCAAGATGTGAGGACGGAGACAGAAGGRGAGATCAGGCAGAGATCAGCGGAGGGAGGGATAGATGAAGGAGAAGGTGTTTTTAACTCCRCGGCTCGACTGCCTCTGAGACTGAAGGGGTTTCAGGGGCCACGGTGCTGGCTGAGGACAGCAGAGACAAAGACACATGATGGGTAAGTTCCACGCTGCTGTGTTACCGGTTCGACTGTAAAAATACGTGTGCTTTTTAAAACTAGATTATTTTCAATGGGTGACATTTAGACAAACTTTATTTATTGTGAGGAATATTTTTGTGTCACTGAAGWACAAATGTTTTGTTTTAAATCTGAAGATTCTGTATAGTTGGGGAAAATGATGCACTTTTATGTTTTTTATATGTAACTACCATGTTAGAACAAGATCATATCAGCAGTTTTATGTTATTATTTTGTTTTAACAGATTTCAAATTAAAAAAAAATTCCTAATATTTTTTGGATGTATTTTTATGCAACACAATCTGTACGCATATCACGAGTTTCTAATAAATTTTGAACACTTTGTTTTGTGTTTGACTTCTTCAAAATAAAAGCACAATATCTCCTCCAGCATTCAATAAACCCAGAAGTGTAAACTTGTTTGACAATCAGGTTTTTTGTTAGCTCATGTGTCTGGACCGCGGCTCGTCGTCAGGTGGGTTTCTCTTCCTCACACCAGCGTTCAAGAAAAAAAAAATTAAAATAAAGAGAGGCACAGCAGTTGCCATGGCAGCACGGAGGAGGAGGAGCGGAGGAGACTATTGCAACCGTCTCCTTTCTCGCAAGCCTACCACCAACCCACAGACTGAACGCCTACGTCCTCCTCAACACCAGAAGATCATTCACTTCCAACCCAGGAAGTCCTCACAAAAAGGTCTGACAAGATTCAGAAAAAAATAAAATAAAAACACTCCAAATGAGTCCAGTAAAGATATGCCAAGCACGCCCACATCCTGTTTTAAGTAGCTCACTCAGAGGCACGCTGCCTTTCACCCAGCTCACTCCTCATCTGCTCACCCACACATACCTGCCCACACCACCCTGCTGAGCCGGAGAGTGGTGCGCATCGTATGGAGACRAGCGCTCGACCAAATCAAGACACGTCACAACCAATAAGGTTTGGTTCAAAAACAAGACAGCAAATTATGGCTGTCTATATACGCCGGATTCAGTTCTCATAAAAAAGCATACACAATCAAATTACACAACAAATACTTTTATTTATTTTTTCCCCTTTTGACTGTTTTTACACTGACAATGGAACAACTGGAAAGTACAGTTTCACTGTAAAGACACAGGATTGATGGAGTTTCTGCATAAGTTGATACAGATAAAGGAAAGGAGAAATAAACTGTTACGCAGTCGTCCCTACATCTACCCTCGTCGCACATATGGCATTAAGAACAGCGAGAGTGAGGTTTTCTTGTTACACTTGCCATTGTGAATGCCGAGAGTCGACCCCATCTCCCACGCATGCAGCATTAATAGAAGCACCAGCAGGGCTGCAGCAGGAAGTGGGTGTCCTCCCTACATGTCGCTCGCTCCGCACAGATCTGTGCAGCATCGTSTAATCACTGGCATTTCAATGCAGCATCTCCCTCTAACACAACACCGCTAAATATATCAAAAAAAGTGATTTTTATACTTGATAAACAACAAAAAAAAAAAAGAAGAAGCTCTTCCACACAGATAATATGTTAGGTCATAAATTGACATCTTTAATTAAAATGAACCGTGTGGCCACAGGAAAAGAGTTACAGATTTGTACAAATCAAAAGCACCCGCGTACAGTTGACTCACTTTAACAGCTCGGACCGATTCCCTTCTCCTSGTGTGATTTACTGCAGTGAGCCCGAGCCCTGACAGAGGATGTTTAGGTATCAGTGACTCATGCACAGACTTTATACAATACACGTACCTCTATGACAGACAGACACAGTCTGTGTGTCTGTCCATGCCTCCCACTRCCCACATTCTGTTACATAAGTCTTATATAAACGCTTCATCAACACTTTTTTATTTTTTTGATGACGAACCTCTCCGCTGCACCTTTCGGAGATCCGTCAAACGCAACCAAAATGTTCACGTGGCTCCTCGACCTACACAGACGTCTGCACACGAACAATCACAGGGACATTTCAGGGGTTCAGTCTGCTAACTAAAGACACAAATACAGCAGTCATGGTACATGCACAGGTGTGACACCAAACACCTACTCAGTCAAGAGACTTTTGAATTTGCATTTGTATTATTGCATTTGCAGTTAGCATAAAAACAACAAGAAATACGGGTGAGGTTCCCCACAGAGCATGCTCAGGTTGAAGAAAATGAACGTGTCAGTCCTGAGAAACAACATCTCCTGCTGACTGTGTCACGTGACAAAATGTAAATGCCACACATAATTTCAGATAAAAATAAAAAATATATTTTGCATTTTGTCATTGCTGGAGTTACAGAGTGCATCGTGTTTTTAGTTGCTTGATAATTAAGAAGAAGAAGAAGCGCATCAACTACTGAAAAGGAGCACCCTTGCTGTTGTTGACTGGTACAGTTACTGGGCTTTTGGTTTCGGTACACACTGGACCTAAAGGGTTTCTTTTGTTTTGTTTTGTTTTGTTTAGAGCAGTCATAGTGTCGCAGTAGTCAGGACATCTTTATCAGATAGAGCAGACCCGACAAGTCTTAAGCTGATCCCTGGAGGGGAAAAACACGAGAAAGCAGCGGTGAATAGAGAGACTTCACTTTTCTACACTGACATGGATACACGGTACGCAGCACGCAGACAAAATAAAGACACGGAAGAAATGCAGTGGTCAGTACGTCTGAACTGCAAATGAACAACAGACACACACATAAAAAAATAGATGCAAAATATTCTCACTAACATCGACTAAATCTGCACTGTGCCTAAGAGTGGGACAGTGAACGCATCCCAGCGGGGGGTATACCTGTGTGCGAAGGCCAGAGCGTTCTGTGCCGGCTCCGGGCGGGGGTCTGAGTTGGGAGTGGTGTCACAGATTTCATCTGTGCCGTTGATGTTTTCCATGGGGGGAGTCACAGGGGTCAGCGGGGAGGAGAGCTCGCCTGCCGGAGACTCCTACAGACGAAAGCAAGTTTTCACAACTTTAACTGTCAAACATCAATTATAAACATGTCATATATATATATA